AAGATGAACATTTTGAATATTTATTGATTATTATGATAAATTATATAAAATATATATAAAGTATAAATATTTTGCAAAAACACTTTTATTTGTAATAACTGCTTCATTGCATTGTGGCATGCTTGCAATTTATTTTTTATAGTTACTGTCAACTCTGGGTTATTATGCTAGATCTTGATAATCTCTTCCATAACATCTTGCTTATTAGTAAGATTTTTTTTTCCAATCTCTTGCTTTACTATTTCCCAAATGTTTTTTATGGGGTTAAGATCATGCGAGTTGTCTGGCTATAGCAATACATCAACTAAGCCATAACAGTTTTTATTGTGTGGCAAGTTGCACCATCTTGCATAAATATAAGATTTTTGACATTATTTTTAATTTTTTTTTTTGTCAATTTTTGACTTGTTTGGCTGGACATCAATCCCTCTTCTTTTAGCCTTCTACAAATGGTCCGGTCTGACACAACAATTACAGCTTCATGGATAAGCTTAGTCGCTTTTTTTCTCTTTTCCAGGCAGATGTTTCTGATTATAATGTCCGCTTTTGGTGTTTTCTTGCGTTTAGAAGGTGGTCTCCTTGGACCAAACTCTTCCCTGTATCAATTCTTTTTCTTACTTGCATTACGGTTTGGTAAGAAACCTTTGCGGTTTGTGCAATTTTTCATTGAGATCAATTTGTATTTTGTAAAAGACATGTTTATCAATTTTTAATGTAACTATAATAATAATAACAATGTATAATGCAGGTTGTTAACCAATGGTTTATAATCAAAATTTAATATGGCTGGCGGTAAAGGTAAAGAGAAGTTTAAAGGAACAAACATTAGGTATTTACTTGTTAGTTATGTGTAAAACTATATATTTTTTAAAAATCACAGTTCGTTTTTTTAATGCTAATTTATTTTTTTAACTTTTTGATGTATTTGATGTAAATTACTCAGGCAATACCTTTTTTATAGAGAGCGTTTTGTCAATTAAAGTGACTGCTACAGTTGCCGAAATAAGAAAATGAATAATGACTCGACAGATCAGATGGTGGTGGTCGGCGCGTAAAAGGCGATTCACCCGATGTATAAAATTCATACTTTTTCCTAGTTGTTCTGGAACTATTGATAATAGTTATTATTGATAAATTGATAAATATATTACTGATAAATAAAACTTTTTTTTTTCAAACATTTTACTTTATTTGCATTGTGTATAAAGTCCGTTGAAGTAATTTAGTTGTATCTGATTAATTTACGTGAAATATAATATTCTTCGCGCAAATTGATGCTTTTTTATTGTGTTAATTTATTGCAATTAAAGTTGAGATAATTTTTTAGTTAATTGGATTTAACTTAAACAAAAAACAAAAATCAACGTTGAATTTACGTTGTTTCAACATTGTTCTAACGTCTTATCAACTACGTATCAATCGAATATATCACCTATTTAAAGTTGAAATATGGTTGATATGTAGTCGATAAGATGTTAGATCAACGTTGAAACAACGTAATCATCGACGTTGTTTCAACGTCGTAGTTTTCGACGTCTGACTTTATTTCCAATTCAACCAAATTTCAACGTTGTTTCAACGTAGCATATGGTCGCTTTACGACGTTGTTTCAACGTTATTTTAACGTCATTGTGCCTGCTGGGTCATGTCCAAACGTTAGTGAAAATGAAAAACGATTGTTTGCAAAACGAAAAGCCGAATCTTTAATCAACTTCGACAATGACATTATAATATCAGCTGAAACTTACGAAGTAGTCAATAATGTGATGAATCCTGAAGAATTAAAAGAAGAAATCGTTATGAAATTAGCAAACTTCTCTTTTTGAACTGGAATATTCCAGTTCGATGAGTGAAACACAAGATCTTGTGTTTCACTCAGCTAATCAAAATTCTTTTGCTTTTTTATATTACATTGAAACAAGAGACTGTTTTTTATGTTCACTTATTTTTTAGAAGTCGTAGCCAGCTCGTATGAAAGGAGTTCTCGACGTGAAACAGTTATTTATATTCAACGACGCCAAAAAACAGAGCTCGCTCAAGAAACAGAGGAGAATGAGAAAGATTAAAAAATATTCTCTTGAACAATACTGCTGTTTTATTGATAAATTAATTTCCTATGTTTAAACATATAAAAGATGTAGAAAATGCTTCCTCTTTTATATTGACATCTAAAAGAGTTTTTTTTCTAGACATTGGAAAGAGCTTTTTGTCATACTTTGTATGAACCCAGTAAGCACAGGACGTTTTTAAAACATTTTAATTCCGTTCAATTTACGGTCAGACGTTTAAAGAACCAATACAATCATTTTTAAAACGTTTTTTTGTAAACGTTTTTTTTAATGTTAAGTTAATCGTTTTTTTAGCGTTTTTTAAGCGTTTTTTTTTTTAACAACTTGCGAAATTTCTCAGTTAGCTTATGAACGTTTTTAAAACGTTTTTTTAATATAATAAATGAATGTCACGGCAATATTTAAAAGAGTAAGTATGTTTACGCAAATAATCGCGTGACCTTCGATTAAGCGAAGTGATTTATTTAAGTAAAAATTATATAAATTAACATATCTTTAAATTAACCAAGTGTTTGTATTGTTTTCTTGGAGAGTTAAATTTAAAAATATATTGGAGTATTTTTAGTTTGCCTTTGTTGAAACTAGGTTGTGTTTGTATTTCTACTTGAGTCAAGTAGATATGATTAAAATGATAAAGTTTTTATGGTGTGGTTATTTAGATTAAATAGCTTCATTGTTGAGTAAACTTGATTGCCAAAGAAACTGGATTAAGTTTTTAATTCTACTTGATCAACTGCTTTTATCAACTGCTTTTAATGCAAAAAAATTCATTTGGATTTGAGATAAGGGAACAACATTTTCAGAGTTTTTCTTCTTTAACTCTTTTATTAAGGAATTACTATAGTTAAAAAGGCTGAAAGGAAAAAATATGATGATTTTTTTCAAGAAAGTAAGTAATTTAGTTCAAAACGTCATTTTAAGATTTTTAATCTTAATAATATTCTGGTGTTATTACCAAATATTTGGCAGTATGAAACCTAAAATATTATATACAATATTATATACCCTATTTTACTTATAAAATTAATAATCTGTAAAGTAATTTGTATAAGGTTTTTAATTGTAAAATTTCTACATGAGAAAACAAGTTTTTAGATGAAAATCAAATATTCTCTATGCTTGTGTTCTGTAGGTCACAAAATAATAAATAAAGATGATATTGATTATGATGACCAAGAGATTCATTTTAAGACACATCAATCTTCATCATCTTAAAATAAAAAGGATAAATATGATAGATTTCCATTATTTCAATCAAGTAAGTCTTTAGTTCAAAATAATAATGTAATGTTTGTTGTAAAATGCTAACATGACTGTCAATATTAAAAGATTTCATTGAAAAGATGAGGTTCCAATTTTAACTTTAAATAATCACCTGCATGAAATCCATTATTTCAATATTATCAAAATTATAAATCTATGGAACAATCTTTCTTCTCACCCTAAATCTGAGAAAAACTGTAATATATACTAAAATATTTATTGTGCCTATACCAAAAATTAGCATTGCCACAATCAAGTATTTACTTCTATTAGTTTTTCTCTGATTTAGGGTTAGACCAGTAAAGTTATTAAATTATTAAATTTATGTATTTTAAATTTATTTATATACATAGTTTTGTCAATACTATGTAAAATTTAATTATTGCAAGTTTGTTTAGACTTTTAATATTGTGTGTTGCGTCTCCTAAATGAGATAAAAACCCAAGGATCCAAAAAACCTAATATAAAATAAAGTGAGCAAGAAGTAGTAATTGAAATGAACAGCCTAATAGAATTTGATAAGTTTGACTCAGCACTTGATAATATTTCATCTAGGAACTCTGCAGTTGTAAATTGCTAAATACCGATTTGACAAATTTTTTCTTTTTATAAAATTTTCTTTAAAATATATAATTTTTACTACTTAATTAGGAATTGTCAGTTTTTCCATAATTTCTTTCTATTAGAAACAAAGAGTTCAAAATATTGGTGGAAAGAATTGTCAAAAACTTGTGATAGCTATGATGAAGAGGTTAGTAAATTAAAAGTGCATTCCTATAAATACTCTGTTTAAGTTTATAATGATATTACTCCTATCTTACAATCCATATTACAAATCCCATGCATGGCTCTACCTAAGGTGTTTTACCGTAATGGGACGAGTGAATAACCGTGAATTTCATAAGTGCGAACTGGTGTAAGTACGAATTCGCATAAGTGCAAACTAGCACATGTGCGAAGCAGTTACAAAAACAGACACAATGCCTAATGGCATAAGTGCAAATGGGTATAAGTGCGCTAAAAGAATTTCCAAACATTGGCATAAGTGCAAACTGGCATAAGTGTGAACTGGCATAAGTGTGAATTGGCCTATGTGCATTGAACAAATTTGCAAACATTGACATAATTGTGAATTGGCATAAGTGCAAAGTAGCTATTGAAATAGTTACAGAAACTGGTATAAGTGCAAACTAACATATGTGCGAATTGACATAAGTACGCTAAATAGATTTAAAACATTCTCATAAGTGTGAATTGCCATAAGTGGGAACTGGTATAAGTGTGAAGCAGTTGCAAAAACTGGCAAAAGTGCAAACAACATAAATGTGAACTGGCATAAGTGTACCAAATAAATTTGCAAGCATTGGCATAAGGGCAAACTGGCATAACTGCAAACTAGCATAAGGGCTAATTGCCAATTAGCACTTATGTCAGTTCGCACTTCTGCCAATTTTTGTAACTGTTTTGTACTTATTCAAATTTTGCACTTATGCTTATTTGTAATGTTTGCAAACTTGTTTGGCGGACTTATGTCAATTCACACTTTTGCCAGTTTGCAAGTTTAAAACTATAGGTTATCTTAGCTTAAACTTTATTCCAGACAGTTCTTTTAACCCAGACAATATTCATATATATGACTACAATAATGGTTTGTGTACACTAATGATCAGAACTGCACTAATTGTTAGTATGCTATTTTTTAAATAATAAAAATTATTAGATACACTGTATCGTTAAATTTAATAAAACATTTAGACTTAAATTATGAAAAAAAGAAAAATATTTTAGAGTAGAATAGAGTAGTTAATTATAATTTCATAAATTATAAAATATAATATTATTAAATTATGGTATTTTTAGTTTAATGACAAATTCATTCATGATCAACTAGTCTAACCAAGCTATACAACTTAATAAAAGGTACGTTATATATATATATATATATATATATATATATATATATATATATATATATATATATATATATATATATATATATATTATATATATATATATTACATATATATATATATATATATATATATATATATATATATATATATATATATATATATATATACAGTGGTCAAAGTGAGGTGGGATGCCATCCCATCATATATATATATATATATATATATATATATATATATATATATATATATATATATATATATATAAATATATATATATATATATATATATATATATATATATATATATATATATATATATATATATATATATATATGTATGTATATACACATGTATATATACACACACACACACATATATATATATATATATATATATATATATATATATATATATATATATATATATATATATATATATATATATATATATATATATGCAATGTGATACAAAAATACAAAAATATTTAAACCTCAAAAAAAAAATTCCTTGATCCGTCACTGATATATATATATATATATATATATATATATATATATATATATATATATATATATATATATATATATATATATATATATATATATATATATATATATATATATATATATATATATATATATACATATATATATATATATATATATATATATATATATATATATATATATATATATATATATATATATATATATTTAATATACTTTTTATTTGTGCATAATATGAAATTATATATACATTTTTAAAACATATATTTGTAATTTAAAAACTTATTACTATTATTGTTATTATATATACTAATATGTATATATTATATTATTATATTATACTATTATTTTATTATTATACTATTATTATACTATAATACAATTATTACTGCTCAGATTGTCTGTTGTAAATATATAGTTTATTCTTTTAGTTTGTGCATCGACTGCTCACTAATCATAAACAGAGTCTATTGTCGAATCAATTATTACTGATTCGTTAAAGATGGCAACTTCTAAATGTGTTAAAGTACCTTAAATCCAACAGATATCATCGCTACGATATTAATTTGTTTGTAAATTGTTTTAGAAAATAAATTTAAAAATAACTTTTAAATAAATTTTTTGTTTTTCTTGTTTTTTTAACCAACAGGTTCTTTTAAACAATTTAATAATAGTCCCTATTGACTTGGGAATATTTTCTGAAAAAAACTTCTTTTAAACGTATAAAGATGTTTTTTTATGGTTTAATTTGGTTTTTTTAAGAACGTTTTTTAAACGTTTTTTTAGAACGTTTTTTAAACAACTTTTTTAGAACGTTTTTTAAACGCTTTTTTTAAAACGTTTTTTAGGTATTGCCATTTCAAACGTTTAAAAAACGTTTTATTTAATAGTTAAAAAAACGTTTTATAATTGTTCATGTGCTTACTGGGAAGAGCTATGATCATTTTCATTTAATAAAAATAGCTTTTTATATATAAAAAGCAGGAATACTATAGTGTATAGGATACTATAGTATACTAATAAGTATGATAAAAAAGTCTTTCCGACGCCGAAAAAAATTCTTTTTTAGATGTGCATAATCAAATAAGAAAGACGTCTTACATACGCATTTTTTATGTCTTTCTATGACAAAATTAAGATAAAAAAAAACTCCTTTTCGATGTCGAAAAAAAATGTCTTTTAGATTTTCATAATTAACTACAAAAAGGCGTCTTAAAGACTTTTAAAGACGCCTTTTCGACGTCTTTTTTTCCACTGGGACGGAATCAAACGCCTTTTGGAAGTCAATATATATAATATCTGTTATCAGATGATTGTCAAGTGCGATACTCCAATTGTTAGTAGATTCTAAAAATATCGTACACGTAGAACGTTTATTAAGGAAACCGTGCTTACTAGGAGATATTATGTTACAATTATTTTAGAGTTCGGAACTTACGCGCTTATCGGCGAATATATATGCGCATACCATTTAAATGTTATGCGCATAATATGCATATGATGCGCATACATATTTAACCGATAAATGGTATGTGAATTTAATTATTGTCAAATAAAGAATAAAATGTTTTTTTAAATCGAACGCAAGTGACTTTGAAATAAAAAAAATATTTTAAAATAAAATTAATTATTTCAAACTATTTTCATAATTACAAATTTAAAAAAATATATTACAAAACTTGGCAATGTACTTTGTTTTTGTATTACGTTTGCTCCTTTATAATTTCTTTACAATCGAATTGAGAACTGCTCTACCGTCTAGAATGTAGTCATTTTTGTCGTTTGTATCCATCAAAACACTATTGGTATATATGAAAACTAACTTTTTTACGCGTTCGTTTGTCCAGCGATTTCTCTATCGTGAATGAATAAATCCAAAAATTGACCAAGTTTTCTTTGCTGTTACTGACGAACAAACCAACTCAACAATAGATTTTGCAACTTCAAAGACTGCTGGATATTTCTAAAGACAACAATATTCTTATAATTCTTTCTGCTTATTTTAAAAATCGTCTCTTTTCTTTTTTCTGTCAGTGTTGTCAATTCTCCAACAAACTCAATTATTTCACTTTCAAATGTCTCAGCAACTGTTGAAAATTGTTTTGGAGGCTAATTCTGAAATTGAACTGATTATATCAGTCTTATATATATATATATATATATATATATATATATATATATATATATATATATATATATATATATATATATATATATATATATATATATATATATATATATATATATATATATATATATATATATATATATATATACACATATATATATATATATATATATATATATATATATATATATATATATATATATATATATATATACACATAAACACAAATACATATATATTCCATACAATACAAGTATAAAGATAAGTAATGATATAAAGTGTGATGCCGCTTTTTAACAAAAAGAAAAGTTAAAGAAATAAATCATAAGAGAGAACAAAATAAAAATTAAAAATAAAATAGTATTTGAGATATATCATAATCACGTAACTATTTTTTTAAGATTAAAAATTTGGATTTAAGTTGCAGTTTTACTATTATTTGAAGTAAATGAGTTCCACAAATGTTGCCCTTGGTAAGTTATTGAGAATTCAGATTGTTTTAACAAAATTTTTGGTACCTGATAATTAAGCAATGAATGCTTTCTTTGATATTTATTATTTATAATAAAGAAAAGATCTTCAAAAATATTAGGTAGCATATGATATTTTAATCTAAGCATGAATAAAAGAATATTATAAATATTTAATTGGTAAATATTAAGCACTCCAAGCTTATGAAGCAGTGGATTGGCACTGGTGTATTTATTAGCATTTAATATAAGGCGGCTTGCTTGTTTTAACTTTTTTAAGATACAAGTTAGTCTTGACGGATAATTGCTTGCCCAAGCAATGTTACAATAACTAATATAGCTATGAATAAATGAAAAGTAAATAGATTTTAAACAGTTTTTATCCAACATATATCTAGTTTTATACATGATTCCAATACTTTCTGAAATTTTCTTTTCTATTAGATTAATATGCTCTTTCCAATTTATTTGCTCATCGATTAAAACGCCTAAGAATTTAACACAGTATGTCCGTTGCAATTTGGTTTTTTCTATTAAAATATCCGGGAGTTTTAAAGGCAACGTTTTAGATTTAGAGGATTTAGAAAAGAAAGTATATTTGCTTTTAGTAGGATTCAGAGAGAGAGTTTGTTGGCTTTTAACCATTCATTAAGGTTATCAAGTTCACTATTCATAGTGGTAAAGATTGTCTTAATGTTAGAGTGAGTATAAAAAACTTGAGTGTCATCAGCAAAAAGATTAAAGTTTCGTATACTAGATGATAAGTAAATATCGTTGATATAAATAATAAACAACAAAGGCCCTAGAATAGATCCCTGTGGAACTCCGCAGGTAATGTTTTCTAATTTAGTGTAGAATTTTGTCATAAGATACGCAATGTTTGCGATTATTAAGATAGGAACAAAACCATTTAAAGTTATCATTTTTGATTCCATAAATTTCAAGTTTGTAAAGAAGAATATTATGGTCCACAGTATCAAAGACCTTAGAGAGGTCAATAAACACTCCAAGAGTATATTGGTTGTTTTGAAACCCATTTAATATTTCTTTATCTAATTTAATTACTGCATGTTCTGTCGTGTATCCTTTTCTAAATCCGTACCGATTATTATTTAAAACTTTGTGAGTTGTGAGATAATTGTAAAGCCTATTATGCATTATTCGCTCTAGAATTTTAGAAAAACATGGGAGTATTGAAATAGGTCTGTAATTAGATAGCTTTGAGATATCACCATACTTAAATATTGAAACTACTCTTGCTTGTTTCAAGAGATCAGGAAAAACACCATTTTTAAAATAATAAGTAAGGTGTTCTCAATAATATCAAAAACTTCTTTAACAACCTTTGGGCTTATACCATCAAGGCCTGCGCTTTTGTTTAGTTTTATCATATTAAAAGCAAACCGAAGTTCATCAGGTGATACCTCAAGCTCATCAATTACATAGTCTTTTTCTTTAAGATATGATTTTTCCTGGTGTTATTTTGTTTGCTAGGTTTTAAGCAACATTTATAAAAAAGTTATTTAAACTGTTTGCAATATCGTTTTTCTCATTAGTTATTGTTCTTTCATCCTCAGTGTATAAATATTTCGGCAAATAATTACCACGAGTTTTCTTTTCTTTTCCTATCACTTCCTTTAATATATCCCAATTTTTTTTGTTATTTCCAATACTATTTTGTAATAAAGTTGAGAAATATTTTTTTTTAGCTTTTTTTTTCAAGTTTTCAAACAGGTTTTTTTAAGTTTTATATATTTTTTCGTTTTGATAAGTTTTTTTTTTTTAATATTTTTCATAGAGTTTTTGTTTTTTCTTAGAAGATTTAATAAGTCCATTTGTAATCCGTGGACTTTGTAGACTTTTAAGCTTGTTTTTAGTCTCCTTCATTGGAAACGCTTTGTCGTAAGCATTAAAAAACTCGTTGTAAAAAAATGCTTAAGCTTTATTTGTATCTTTACAATCATGTAGTTGTTTCTAGTTTACTTTGAGTAAATAATTTCTAAATTCCTTAATATTAAATTCAGTAATCTTCCTTTTTATTTCCGTTAGTACTTTGCTTTTTCTTTTCTTTTGTATAAAAATCAGATACAAAAAAAATTGGAAAGTGGTCGCTAATATCGTTTTTTATGATTCCGCTTTGAATCTTGCATGTTGTGAAAATATTAGTAAAAATATTATCAATGAGCGATTCAGTTAGAAAAGTTACACAAGTAGGCTTGTTTATTAAGGAAAGAATGTTGTTTTGAAAAAAAGAGTTGAATAAATGTTTTACCAGATTTAATTAATGATGTAAATTTGTTTATTTTTAACTTTTTTTAAACACCATTTCAAGTGTTTTTGAAAAGCTTTTTTATTTCCGCATGGTGGTCTATACAAAGCAGTTACTTAAACGTTTTTTTATTGTGGTTTAGTAATTCAATAAATAATGGTTCATATTCCGTGTTTTGAACGCTGAGAATTTCTATTTTCTGATAATGGATTGACTCGTGAATAAAAATGCATACACCGCCACCAACGCCACCACCTCGAGTTTGGTGAATTGCTTTAAAATCTGGAGTTTGAAAGTTATTTTTTTTCTTTTGCACCATGTTTATTATTACCATATACTCAAAATTTATATTTTTTAGCATTGATTTAAAATTTTCAAAGTTTTTACTCATACTACGTATGTTCAAAGTTAATGTTGAAAATAACAATTGTGACGCATTCATGACGCATGGTTAGAAACTTCCTCAATATCAAAATAGTTTGAGTTGATTATGACGTCCTCAAAAAAGTTTACATCTGGATCAATGTCGTTACTCAAAAGAATTGTGTTTTGTTTATTAAAAATTTCAAAAAAATTTGTTGCATTTGATTTGTTAGCCATTGTTATCATTAAAATATGCAAACTTAAGATTAAAATTGTTTTCTAGCAGGTTCGTCTTCTTGTAAAACTTTTTTTTAAATAATAAGTTTGTCATACCTGACAATAACGTTTTCTCCTTTTGATTTTCTTTCTTTCGCTTCAGTAAATAAC